GCTTAACCACTGAGCCACATCCTCAGCCCTTTTTTATATTTTATTTAGAGACAGGGTTTCGCTAAGTTGCTTAGGGTCTCACTAAATTGCTGAGGCTGGCTTTGAACTCACAGTTCTCCTGCCTCAGTCTCCCTAGTCAGTGGGATTACAGGCATGTGCTACCATTCCTGGCTGAGAGATATGTTTTACTGTTCTCCTTTACAAGGAGATAATTCCACACTCTAAAGCAAATACACAATTATTTTAACATGTTTTCTGTGCTCAAACAGGACACATAAAAACATTTATATTTTTAGTACCATACTTATAATATTCATTCATCTATTCATTCATTCAACAAAATTTATAGTGTCCTTACTATGTGACAAGCATTATTCTAGGTGCCAGGAATATAATAGTGAACAAAAAAGCAAAGGACCTATTCTTATTCAATTTACATTCTACTGAGGATATCTGACAACATTAATAATTATTCTTTAATATTACTTAATATCCAATGTATATTAATAGCTTAACAAATATCTCCTAAGTGAACTTTATGGTTATTTTATTTCATATAGGATCCAGTTAAGATCTGTACCTTGCCTTTGATTGTTATATCTCTCAATTTTCCTTCTCTCTCTCTCTTTTTTTTGGGGGTGGTGGTGGTGGTGGTGCTTGGGATAGAACCCACATCCTTATCCATTCTACGCAGGTGCTCTCCCGCAGAGCTACATTCTCAGCCCTCTGAATTCTCATTTCATCTAGAAGAGTCTCCCTGTCCCTCTCCACTTGCTCATGACATGGATTGTAGAAGGGACTGGGTGGTTGTGCTGTAGAATATTCTAGCTTATTATTTGTTGGATTGCTGCTTATCTGTGTTCCTTGTAAACCACAAGTTAGACCTGAGGGCTTGCTGTGATTCAGGTTAAACATTTTTGGCAAGGAAACTTTAGAGGTGCTATTGTATATTTTACATTAGATCACGTCTGGGTGATTGTTCCACTGTTGGTGAGCTAAGAGTGGTTATGCAAAGCTAGTTTTTTCCACCGCTGTGATCTGTACTGCAGTCTGCAACTGATTCTTCAACCCTCTGAATACCCAGTTTCTCATCAGTCTTGACTCAACAGTTTTAGCACCCATTGGTGACCCTTGCTTGAATTACTTTATTAGAACTTGCAAATGAGTGATTTTTAAAAATTTCATCGTTTCTTAGGCCTCATTAATGGTATTCTTCTATGAAGAAGTGCTTTCCCTCATTCACATGGGTATTTGGTTACCCTGAGATAACAGGTAAAATCAGGATGGAATCTGAATTCTTCCCATCTAATTTTCAAATTTCAGAACTAGGACTTGGTGCAGTGACCACTTATAAAGGTGATAAGTCAATTTTGATTTTGGTTTTCTCTGAGTTTCTCTCTTCAGACTCTTTTTTAAACATTAAATGATATCTTTGTTGGAGTTATTCTTATTAGTTTATTTACTCTTATTAGTTAGTTTATTCTTCATGTTTAAATTGTCACAACTTCAAGATGGCTTTTATGTTCTTTTGACATGATATTATGTTTGTCTTTGATTTCTGACCCCTAAGGATATTTACCTTATATTATAAGGTATATATTATGTATGAGTTGTAAAGTGTATATATTTTCATGTGACTAGTGTATATGCACTTGAAATTATTTCATTATACCCCCAAAAATAATGTGCTTTTATTTAGTTCCCTATTTACGTAAAATTCATTTTAAGCCACTTATGTTTCTGATTATTTATCTTTTTCAAGATTTCTGTTCTAAGTCATATCTTAGTATCTTCTTTTTACATTCAGCATGAAATGGTACCTAGTAGGGTGGAATGGCATGTGTGAAGGGGATTGGACTGGCAGGCATTGGTGTCTCAGCAGTGGGGCACTTGATTCTGCTTGAATTTCAAGGATTCCCACTGTAATTGTCTTAGTATTCAATCATTGAATATTGTGATATTTTATGTATATTTCAGGATGGTGATTTTGAATTTATATCTGGTTGAGAGATTTTTCTCTAATACGTGGTTTGAACAAAACCCACTAAATAAGTGATTGAATTCATTTAGAGTTAAGGTTCTCTTCGGTGATGTGAGGAGGAATTCAAAGGACAGAGGTGTTGGAATACTGGTAAGAGTGATTGACATGGGTCCTTTGGATTTTAAGCTTTGTCCCATGGGCCAGAGATTGTAGTGAATGATGCTGAGGTTGAAGAACCAGAAAGATGGAAGAGTGGACCTGACCATGGGGTCTCTACCTTTTTATTTTAGAATGAGTGGGACATTTTGGGTGATATATCTGACAAATGTTTTAGCGAATGTTTGTTGAATTAATGAGTGACAGAATCCAGGAAATGGGGGACTGAGCCATATCTGAGGAACATGTCATCTAAGATGATGTAACAAGGAAATGAGAGTCAAACTTAGATGATTGGACATGACTGTGTTACCATAACTTTGCACTGTGTTGTATTAGTTGATTTACCTGAGTGATTTTAACATTAAATTATGAAGACTCTTCTAGAAGGATGTAAATTCAGTGATTTGAAAAGCGGGTGAAGACTCCTCTTTTAGCTACTAACTTAAAATTGATTTGGTGGGGGCAAATTATTAAGAAAATGTATTAGGTTATAGTGTAATTATATTTCTTATTTATTTCTTTAAGAATGTCTTACCTGTCCAAAAGGCAGCTTCACGAACTCTATGTGTTTTTCTACGATATAACCGTAAACAAGAACAGAGACATGAGGTCATTCAAAAATTAATTGAACGTAAGTGATGATTGTCACTTATTTTGAAAACAAAATACAGAAAGTAACCAAACCAATGGGCTTTAATTAAATATGAATTGTGTTAAGTATTGTTTCACCAACAGGCACATGTTGGTAATTGTCTAGTGTGTGCATTCATTTTAGTTTTGTCGATTAATTTGTGTTTATTTTGGAAATCTTTATGGCAGGATCAGATCTGCGATGAATGACAATAGTAATTACTTGGAGCCTTCTTGTGAATTTCAACACTTAAGAAGTCAAAATATGTAAATTTATGTTGAAATCCTAGTTCCTTCCTTGATGAAACATTATTTGGTACTAAAATATGAATAAAATATTTATTAACCTAATCACTTATTTTGTAATTTGTTTTCAATATTAGTAGAAAATATTTTTCCCCTTGAATAAGTATGAATCTAGTGAGTTTAGATGGTTTTACTGTCTTAAAAAACTAAGTCATATAACAAATGCAAATTCATTTTAATTTGTTAAGGGCTAAAGTGAAGGCATAAACCTTTAGTTAAAGTGTTAATTCTAAAAATAATGGCACATACTTATAAATGCTTAGTGAATTTGCTATTCATTGAATATTTGACTCTTACTTATTGAACAGTAATGAGATTTTCTAGTTATTGGAATTTGCCATTTTAAGCATTGCTACTTTTAAAAAAAAAATAGAGTACTTTTATAAAATTCCATTTGAGAAAAATTATTTTCAGTACTCTTTGATCTTTCTTCTTGAGACCTGTTGTAACTCAGTTTTCATTTTTCATTCAGAATGTTTTAGTTTGCAAGAAGATTCTATTTGGTTTTAATATTAAGAACTTTTCTTCTGAACATTTATGCAAAAAGTAGAACTTGATCTTCTCAAAGCATGTTTAAGGAAGAATATGTTATTTGATTATTAAAAGATTTGAAGTTATATAATCCTGTATTTAATTCTAGCAGATTTTAGCCTCTCTGAATGTTAGCTAGCATTAACATTCTTATATTTTCGGAGGGGTAAGTATGTGCATCCTATTGGATTGTTTTTCAGGGTTAGATGAGATATCTTGTGTTAAGTACTTAGGATATAGTGAATGATCAAAAAATAGTAGACCTGGTCTTTTAATAATTAGTATTTGTGGCATTTAATACAATATTAATAAAACATTTTGCTGATTTTTGAGTGTCAATAATTTTGGAATCTACAAATCTGGGGAATATAATGTGATTTTTTTTCTTTTACCTCTTGGATTTGCTAAACAAATTATGGGTTTAAATAAACTTGTCACAGATTTTGTGTGTTTAATATTGTCATGCATAATTTCATGTAGAAAAAATTAACTTACTTTTTTTGTTGTTTTAGAACTTGGTCAAGGAAAAAGTTACTGGAATAGGCTTCGATTTTTGGACACCTGTGAATTTATCATAGAAATCTTTTCCAAATCATTTTTCTGTAAATATTTCTTTCTGCCTGCTATTGAACTGACACATGATCCAGTAGCAAATGTAAGGTATGTTGCCATTCCCTTTCTGTAGGCTCTCTCTTCACGTTCTATTTCCTGTGCTGTTCAGAAGCTTTTTATATACTGCCTTCCTACTTATTGATGCTTGGTTTTATTTCTTAAGCTTAGGGGTCTTATTAAAGAAGTTGGTGCTTATACCAAAGCAATGGAGTATTGACCTTATGTTTTTTTCTAACAATTGTGAATCTTTAATCCATTTTGTTGATTTTTGTGCAAGGTGAGAGATAAGGATCAAAGTTCTTCTTCTACATATGGATATAGTTTCCCAGCACCATTAGTTAAAAAGGTATCTTTTCTCTAACATATAGTTTTGGCACCTTAGTCAAGTATCAGATGGCTCTGTGTGTGTGGGTTTGCCTTTGTGTTTTCTGTACTATTTCAGTGGTCTTTGTGTCTGTTTTGATGCTAATGCCATGCTGGTATTGTTACTATGGCTATGTAGTATAATTTGAGATCAGATATTTTGATGCCTCCTGTATTGCTCTTTTTGCTTTGGCTATTTTGAATCTTTTATTCTTCCAAATAAATTTTAGGACTCTTTTTTAGTTCTGTGAAGAATATCATTGGTATTTTGATGGAAATTGCATTGAATCCATATATTGCTTTTGGTAACATAGCCATTTGATGATATTAATTCTGCCTGTCCAAGAATGTTAGGGGGTCTTTCCATCTTCTGAAGTCATCTTCAATTTTTTTTCAGTGTTCTATAATTTTCATTGTAAATCTATCACCTCTTTTGTTAGATTAATTTCTAAATATTTCATATCTGTTTTTTGAGTTAGAAAACCAACTTTCCATGTGATAAATCATCACTTATAAAAGCAGTTGACAAAAATAATTCAAAAGAAAATGAATCATCTGTACTTTGGTCAGTGTGACTAACAGCAGTGCAGACTCTTAAGAGCCATCTGCCAGTTCAGAAATCAAGTGCTTAATCAAATATCACTCCATCAATTTGGGGAAGTAGGAGATCATTGCATAGGAATTTGTCTTGGTCCTCACTCTTCTGCCTGGGCAGCTGTCAGCCAAAGATGGGTCCAGTTACCTGGCTTTTGGGTACCAAAGCCTTTACCCAGTGCTGTAGAGATGTGCAGATAGAATGAAGGCTATCACAGCCCAGAGTGGTAGGATTGTGTAGGTTAGGAGGATTGTTTCTGGAGCCACATGCCTGAGCTGAGATTGCCCCTCTATACTGGCTGGGTATCTTTGGGCAAGTTAGAAGACATCTTTGTGCATTGATTTCCTGAGTACCTAATTCATAGGAAGGAATTAGGAATTAGGAATTTTAATAATTTACACAAAGAACTTTGCTTACCAGAAATGTGTGGTTCTTAATCTCAAGAATTTGATAAACTTATGGGCCCAGGATTCTTACAGAGATAACCATTACTGCGCCTTTTGTAGCTTCTGCTGAATATGTTTCTAGACATTCCTTGGGAAAAAATAAAGCATGCATAGACTATTGAGTGTTTTTATCCTTCCATAAGTGAATGTTTAAATGTTTACCTAAATTAACTGAGTTTAGATAATATTAAGGCTAGGAAAACCCTGTTGGTATTCAAAGAAGCCTCTCCTCAGCTGCCAGAAATGAAATGCCTTCCTGGGGCCCTGGGACTCCTTGGTTGTGTCACCAGCATCCGTGGTGACTGCTGAGTGAGGTGTCAATAATTTTAGAGTCTGGGGAATATAATGTGATTTTTTTCTTTTATCTCTTGGATTTGCTAAACAAATAAACTTGTCATAGATTAGTATTGCTGCCATGCTGAACATTCTAGAGAAAGACCTACTTTACCTTTTTTGAGTGCATGAACAGAAAATTTTGTCATATCTGAAGACTTCTCAACTGAAGATTCTGCTGAGAAAGCATCCTAGAAACTCTCAAAATGAGATTTAGCTGTCTCAAAGCTTGCAATAGAAATAAATTCATTCACAGATGAATGAGTGAATCCAGCAGCTGTGAGAGAGACTGTGGCCCAGCATCCCTGCCCCAGACGGGCTCTGGCTGAGGAGATGGAGTTCTGCAAAGCAGAGGGTTTCCTCTGAGCCATCTCCTCCTGGGAAGGCGTTCTTCCCAGGTTACCTCTTCCTCCTCAGCATTCTTCAGTCTCCTGTGTCTTTCTTGTAAACCTAGTCTAGACTGGGTGTGCTTCCTTTCATCTCTCTTTTCTCTCACAGCACTTAGCACCTTGGTAATCTCTCAGATCTCAGGGTGTGACTATCACCTGCTGAGGATGTATGACTTTATCTCCTGCAAGGACATCTACCTGGACAACAGCCCATGTGGCATTTCCATTGCATATCTAATAGGCTCCTCAGATTGAATCTGTCCAGAATTCAGTCCTGATCTTCCTTACTTGCTTTGCTCCTTCTGCAGTCTTTTTCATCTCAGTAAATAACCGGTTCATCTTTTTACTTGCTCAGGTCAAAATTTTAACTCCCCACTTTTTTTTCTACGTGAAGTATCTCAGCATATCCCGCTGCTTGCAAAATATATATAGAATCCAGCTACGTCTAACCCCTCTGCTGCTGCCTGTCTGGTGCATTAGACCAGTAGCTCTTACAAAGGCCTCTCGTTTCTCTTTTCTTCTTTACCACCTACAGTCTAATCTCAAAACAGCAGCCAGATGATATGACATTTCTTACTGCAGAGCCACAAGCTGGCCTCTTGTCACTGCTGTGAGGTCTCCTGCTAATCTCTCTTTGACTGTTTCTACACAAAGCCAGTTTGCTCAGGTGGATCGCTTACTAATTTGGGGCAACACCAGAGGCAAGGTCCCTGTAATGCTCTTCTCCAGATACTTGCATGGCTCATATTCTGCTACTTTTTAAGTCTTTGGTTAAATGCCATATCTCCAGCGAAATCTCATTGATCCCCTCTCTCACCACCTGCTTTAAAGTTGAACCACCCCTCCTCCTCTTGTTTCCCTCATTTGTTTCTCTGTAGCACTTAAACAACTACCAGAAAAAATTGTGCACATTTGTTTATTCTCTCTTCCGTATCCCCGTACTGGGATGTGAGTTCCCCAAGAGGAAAGAATATTATTGGTTTTATTCCTTTTCATATCTCAGTATCAGAATAATGAATTTCAGACACATAAAACACACTTCATAAACATTTATTGCATGAATAAATGAATTCTCAGGCTATCTCAAACTTGGATTTTCTTTGTTCTGTGTTACTATTTTTCTTCACTGAACCATTCATTATAAATATTAATTTATTACAGAATGAAACTTTGCTATCTGTTACCCAAAGTCAAGTCAACTCTGAAGATTCCTGCAGATAAGCATCTACTTCAGCAGCTAGAAATGTGTGTGCGAAAACTGCTGTGCCAGGAAAAAGACAAAGATGTCCTGGCTATTGTGAAGAGAGTGAGTGTTCCTTTTGCCACAGTCTTTGTTTCTTGCATTCACATAGTATTAAGCGTAGTTTTACTACTTTAGCTTGACAGGAGAGCAGTATGTTATGATATTTATATCCTTGCTAAAGTAGTAAATGATTTGGTTGGCGTGTGCTACACAACAGGATATGAAAGTTCCTTCTGAAGGGCTGTGAGATATTGTGCTTTTATTTATAGTGTATAAGCTCCAGAGGAGCTTATAGATTTTTCTTATAAGTGATTATATTCCAGTAAAATTTGGTAAAATTAAGAAAGTCACATCTTATAGAAACAGACTTGGAAGGGCCTCCAGATTACTTCAGTGGATAGCTTGACTTTACAAAAGTCCTTGATCTGGAAATTCTGCATCTGCTGCAGATGGTGTTAGTAAGTGGCAGAGCCAAGACTTGAACCAAGGGCTGGTATTGACCCCTCAACCATATTTCTTTTAAAATAGTGTGACATTTATTATTTTTGTTTTGTGTTGTTTTGTTTCAGTATGAGGTCTTATTATATGGATTGTTTGGGAATATTGGAAAACTAAAACAATTAGTATTTGGGTTAGTAGGCTCAAACCTTAAAATACTTTGTAGTTTTCAAAACCTTTTTGCTGAATATATAACTGGAAACTCTTGAAATGAGAGTTATGACTTTTATCTGTTATAAGATCAAACTGAATTAGAGTAGTTACTTTTATGAAGCTGAATGTGACCGTTAGAACAGTTTTTGTGCATTTATTTTTTGTGTGAGAAATTAATTTGTTAATGTTTTAAATAGATTAGCATCATTGATAAGAAAAAAAGAAAATCCTGTGATTTTTCCCCCCTTTTATTCTAAAGATTGTTGCCAGGTGTCATAAGGAACTTTTTAATAAAGTGATTTGATAACTCAGTTATTAATTAGTAGAATAATTTACTGAAATGTGAATTCCTCTTTCCTCAATAGAAATAACCAGAAAACACCCGAAGTTAGACATGCAGCTAGATTTAAACACACACATGCATGCACATTTGGTTCTGCCAGACACGTCTGTCTTTACTATTTAAGTATAATTATTTTAACTTGTCAAAATAATAAACGTGAGAGAGTTACTTTTCCAAAAGAAGTTATTAATTCAAGAGATATTATAAGGTGGGGTGGATCTCCTAAAAATCAAAGGGAGATCAGTAGAAGAAAGAGACTATGATAGGAAGCAGGGAGGGACAGAGGAAGGGAGGGAGGAAATGCTGGGGAGTGATATTGGCCATATTATATTGCTATATTGTATGCATGAATGAATATGTAACAACAGATCCTATCAATATGTACAAAATATTTTGAACCTGGAAATAAAAAGAGATGTTATAAGCTACCTCCAAAAGTAGGTACAATAATAATGTAATTAAATTAGTAGATTGTTAATCCATAATGGATTATTCTGGAGTGTAGCTTTTATTTTAAGCATATTTTTCATAATGAGGTTAATCTGTCTCATGAAATTCTGTAGTTAACACTAATCAAACTGAGGTATTATTAATTTGGGAAACTGAGGGAGCTGCACCAAGCTTGGGGATAAAAATGGTTTTAGCTTACTGTAACTAGGTTTTTAATATGGAAAGTAATTTTGTCTAAAAAGGGATATTTCATGTCATGAAACATACATTTTTTATAAATTTGATCAAATAGAGTATCAAATAAATCTTATATGTTGACAATAGATAGCTTTAAGTTTATGAATGTATAAATTTACTTTGGTCATTAGGGTTACTTTTGTAGAATAAATTTTAGGAGAATTGTTCTCTGTCAGAAATAGAACCATGGATTAGATTGACCATTATTTGATTAGAATTATGTTTTCAGACTGGTGATTAGAATTATGTTTTCAGATTGGTGTATTCTGAAAGATATCCTGAATTTAAGAAAGAACTTTTCAGAGCAAAGCCTTTTCTATTGGTCAGACTACTGAAATGATAAACAATCTCTGTGGAAAGGACCTAAGGATTTTAATCCAACTGAGAGCTTGCTCCATGTATATTTAGCTAAGAAACTTTTTAATATTTCAAAAACTGTGTTCTATTTCTTAAAGTTCAGAAAAGATTGGCACTGGGAGTTAGGAATTAATTAAATTGAATTTAGTGTTTAAAGCCTCTAGACTTTCCCCTCTTAATGTTAAACACTTCAGAAAGTTAAAGTGGATCCTGGCGCTAATACACAGAGGTTGATTGAAACTGTAGAACTGGGTAGAACTACGGAGTTTTCTCTTCAGCTCTCCTGCAGTGTGGTAGTCTTCCCATTGAACCTCCTGGGAAAGGAGTCTCTGAGAAATGGTTGATTGCTTGAGTTTAGTTACTGTTGAATAATTCTAAAAACTTCCTTTCCAGACTGTACTAGAGTTGGACAGAATGGAAATGTCTATGGATGCTGTAAGTGAACTCTCTTTACCTTATATAGAAAGAAAGGTTTAAACACAGGCGCAAAGTCACCATGAATGTTGGCCATGTTGTTACAGTTTCAGAAAAAGTTTTATGAAAAAGATTTGTTGGATCAAGAGAAGGAAAGAGAAGAACTACTTCTTTTGGAAATGGTATGCTTTTTTGTTTTTAACACACATACACACGTGCTCTTTTTTGATAAGTGTTAACTGTGCTTTCTTATTAAACTTAAAAATAATTTCTTTTATCATATTACTTCTTTTCTTCCTAGTGTCTTAAGAAGGGTCTTGGTTTTCTGAAATCTATTCTTTCATGAACTGGAAAAAAAAAAAAACTAAATTTGAGAGCCTTTAAAAAAAAAAACTACTATATGGCAGTAAAACTGACATAAAATTAACTGCGTATATTTAAAATACATAATTTGATGAGTTTTAACATGTGGACCTAACCTTGACCCCATTACCACCATCAAAGTACCAAGCATTTTCATTCTCCCATGTTTTCAGATGCCTCTTGGTAATTCGAATCGTCTCTTCCAGTCCCTAGAATCCACTGATCTAGTTTCTGTCACTATATTTCTAGAATTTATATAAACTGAATCATTTGTCATTTTTCTTTCTATCAGTGTAATGATTTTTCAGATTCATCCATATTATATGTATCAATTAGTCATTCCTCTTTATTTTGGGGTAGTATTCTATATTATGCATATGCTTGTCTATTTACATTTTAACAGATATTTGGGTTACTTCTAGTTTGGGGATATTACAATAAAGCTTCTGTAGCTGTACTAGTGGGTATGTAATGGTATCTCATTATGGTTTTAAATTGTATATACCTGGTGCCTAAAGATTTCGAGCATCTATCCTTTTTATTTATTGGCCTCTTGGTGAAATTTGATTTCAAAATTTAAAGTGGATGGTTTCTTATTATTATTGAGATGTCAGAGTTCTTTGTGCATTATAAATACAACTCGTTAGTTACATGTTATATATATTATAAATATTTTCTTGGAGTCTGTGGTTTATCTTTTCATTTACTTAACAGTATGTTCTTTTGAAGAACATAAATTTTTAATTTTTATAAAGTCCAATTTATCAGTTTTTTCCTCTTTTATTCTGTTAATATATTGAATTACACTGATTTTTCAAATAGCGAACAATTTTGTGTTGGGGGCAAAACCTACTTGGCGATGACATGTATCCTTTCCTTTCTCTATTTTGGCTAATGTTTTTATTAAGGAATTTTACATCTGTATTAATGGATTTCCTAGTGAAATAGGTTTATAATTTTATTTTTTATAACTTTTGGGGTTATATTTGGTGTTAGAATTATTCTAGCCTTATAAAACAAGATGGGTAGTATTCCTGCCTCCTCTATTTTCTGAAAAATTCTGTAGAGACCATTTTCTTTCCTCTCAACCTTTTTAAAGAAGAATATTATTTTGCCATTTACCAATTAGAAATTGAAATAGCTAAATGGAGATTGTTCTTTTTGTTTTGAAAAAAAAGGGAAGAAATTGAAATAGCCAATAGTAATATGTTTTGCTTATGAGCATCAGTAAATACCTTCTAGAAAATAAAGGCTCATTATAACAGTGATGCAAAACTCAGGGTTTTTTTTTTTTTTTTTAATCTGGGTAAACCCAAAACTGTAGATTTGTAAAAGAGCACAAATTTGAAAGGACAGCAAATTCTTTAGACACCAATATGGAAAAACCCCACTTTTTAAAGACAGTTTTCCAAACTAATTGTATTTCAGAAGCTTAATTCTTACCAGAATGACTTCCTAACTCTTGTTTCAGCTTTTCCTTTAACATGGAGATTCTGTTCTCCTAACAGGAGCAATTAGAGAAGGAGAAGCAACAGAATGATGGAAGGCCCCTGAGTGACAAGATCTTTGATAAGAAACGTAAGTTGTTTGTGAAAATCGTTTGCTTGGTGTAGCACAGAGGCTGGGGATACATGAGTAAATGGCAGCAGCCAGTGTAAGATTCAGATCCTTCCAGAGGAAAGTTTGGGGCGGGGTTAAAAGCTGTGAGATTGTGAAATTAGTCACTGAATAGCAAAGAAAACATGGAGATATATATAAAATAAGAATATTTGGAAAAGAGTGCTGCTTAACTAGGGTTAGTAATTCCTATTTTCTGTATTTTACATTTGTGGAGATTCATAGGGACTAGAGGAAATTATAAAGCTTAAAACAGAGTTTGTTTTAGGCAGAGACACTAAGACACTGACGCAAAGTCTGCCCAAGAGCATCCCCATCTCTGTTCCTGGACCCTCTTCTAGCACCCCATCAACAAGTAAGAAGTGACTTTTTTATGTCTTTTTTGAAAAATTTACTGCTAAATGAGCTATGTTATCCTGAAACATCTTTTGCCTTTTACTGTTAATCATTTGGTGGTTCTTAGTAGTAGTGTGGGTAAGAGATTCTTCTCCATTCAGATCAAACTAGGAAGATCACTCAGTCCATTTGTGTTTTACTGAAAATGGTGGGCTTGGGGAGGAATTGGGGGAGGGCAACTAGGCTGTACTGAACAATTGCATTTTCCTTTTTTCTGCTTATTACTCTAGGCAAAGAAATCAAGAAATCCAAATTGATTCGAAGCCAGTCTTTTAATAATCAAGCTTTTCATGCAAAATATGGCAACTTAGAGAAAAGTGCTAGGTATGACCTGTTAGCTATTCATTTTTAACTTTTGATTTTATAGTCACATGTATATATTTATGTGAAACATTTACATTATTATAAAACTCAGAATTAATCTTGTGGGTTTTTTTAATAAGACTGTAAAGTATTCTCATTTATAAAGATTATTACACTTAAAATTGGGGCTGTGGATAATCGCTTAGTAGCAGAGCACTTGGCTGTCATGCTCAGGGGCCCTGAGTTCAATCCTTAGTACTGCCAAAAAAATAAATAAATAAATAAAAGGAAGTGTCCCAATTTGCATAAACATAGGTATCTTGACATTTGAGGAAGAATATTGGCAGGACACTGAGTAAGAACATCATGGAATCCATGTATTTATGAGAGGGTGGCACTATCTCATGAGCCATTTTGGATGGCCCACTTAGCCTCAGTGTAAGTAGGTGTGGACACCCATTTGCTGTTAATGCTATTTTCCTACATATAAAGAAGCCACTGGAATGTTGCTATAGGAAGGTGGTCACAAGAGAGTTCTGTCAATAGGTAAATGTCTGGTTTTATTTTTTTCAGTCGAAGAGACAAAATTACAGTTAAGATTAGGAGAGAAGTAGCACAAATTAAATTGCCATGCTTTAAGCATAGTAATCTTAAGAAAATATAAACGTCTTTAAAAGCATTCATGTCTCAAGATAAATAACATGTTACAGAAAAAAACATATTTTTCTTTTATTAAAGATAACATTCCAGAGTTTCAACTGTAGTTTGGGGAAGTAGATCCAACTAGAGCTCCTAGTCAATAGGGCAACGTTAGGATGCATGGAGAGGAGAGATTATGACTAAAGAAAAGTAATTTTCAGGAAAATTTTACCCATCTTACCTGGGTTTCCTGAACATCAAAAGAAAAACTGGTTCTGATGAAATGAAAGTTTAAGGAAATGCCTTTAATTTATAGACTAAGTGTCGACACCTAAGGCATGGAATTTGAAACAAATGAGAAATAAAAGCAGAAAACATATTTTATAAGTAGTAGAGGAAATAATTTACAAAACAAGATTAATAGCTGAAGTGTAGGGATCCAAGGCTGAGAAGCATATTCCTGTATTTTAACGGAATCATGTTCTTTTCCAGTAAGAGTTCCACAGCAGCATATGCACCCTCTGTCTCAGGGTTAGCAAAGACTGCAGTGCTTTCACTAACTGGTAAGTAGCCATCTAAGCTCTTCAAAAAAGTTCCTAAACTTAATAAAATATTATTTTCTTTCAATGACTTAGCGCTTTATTTCTAGATAGTTTTCCCTAAATTTATTTATTTATTAAATCCCTGAGATATTAAGAAAAATACTTGAAAAAAAATCAAGAAAAATCCCTAGCAATTAAGAAAAATACTTGACTGTAATCTCTTGTTTTTATCATGTCAAGACTCAGAGTTTAATACTTGAAAAAGGTTCGATGGGATAGGATGGCTACACTGTGGTCTCAGGGCCTACCGAGGCTCAGACCAGAAGCTTTCCAATAATTTGAAGGGAGTTGAAGGCAGTAGGGATTCACTGTCACTCATGTGCAGCTGTTTGTTCCCAGTGTTGACAGGCTTCTGTAAAGGGCAGATCACAAATACTTCAGATTGGTCTCTGTCACAGTTACTCAACTCTGATGTTGTAGTATAAAAATAATCACAGTTGACACCTAATGAATTAGTGTGGCTGTGTTCCAGTAAAACTTAACTTACAAAAACAGGCAGCAGGGAAGATTTACCTGAAGGCTGTGGTTGCTGACCTCTGGCTTATATGCTAGGAAGGTAGAGTTATGTGATGAACACGCTGGAATATTATGCTAAACATTACTGAAGCTGTGTGTATTTTTAACTTTCTGTCTTAGGGATATTGGGTGAAAGTTGTGATACTGATTGGTGATAATTTTTTAGTATAAATAATGCTGATCCTGCTCAAAGCTCTGAAATTTTTATGGGCCTCGTTATATTTCCTTTTTAGTTTCTATTTTGAATATTCTGTCTTCCTCTTACTGTGTTTTTTTATTCTAATGAAGAATATGTATACTCATTGGCTGTTTTATAAACAGTTTTTCATTTTTAGAACAGAAAATCATTCTAAAATTAAATCATTGCCATCCACATATAGTATATAGTGTGGTTCACAAGGTGGACTGTGGCTATCTTAGGAAACCTGAAATACTTTGAAAGTAGACAGTTGTCAAATCGGTTATCATCATATCTTGAAATCAGGGTTGTAAGTAATAAAACTGTTGATTCCTTTTATTTCAGCAAAGCAGTGTCCTTAGGAAGTACTAAGGAACATTTAGTGTTCAAGAATTTATTTACAATACAGAATGCCTTTAGAAATTTTAGATGCAAATGAAAGCCAGTTTAAATGAGCTCAACTTAGAGTTAATGATACAAATGATTATAGGTGTCTTTAAGGGGTTCTTCAAACATGGATGTTTTGGAGATTCCTTCATTCTGCTGCAAATAGGCATCTTTATCCATAAATTGTAGCAATTTCCCCCAATAAATATCTCTACCAAAATCACCAAGAATATTGATGTAGAACTCATTTTTAAAATTATGTGCGTTAATTTCTTTAGTTTTTACTCTATTAGTTCTGAAGTACACTGAGAATCAGAAAGTGGATATGATTTATAGACCCTAAAACTTACCTTCAATGTCTTAAATAAAAGCATGTTCTTTATAAGGGTAAATCTTTTATAAATATTTGAAAAAAATTCTATCTTAAGGACTCATGTATTTTTAAGGGAGCCTATAAGTTGAGTTAGATATCTCGTAAGGTTAATGAGCTTATTATCTATCAATATGTATTACTTAATGAAATACATATTGAAGAAAAAGTGTATAATCACACATCTTAGCAGTAAATAGAAAATGGAAGCAAGTGTCTTTTAACAAGTATATGAGATGTTCACAGAGAGAATTGTAGTTAGTTGCGGGACTCAGAGTGGGCTTCCTGATGAGTATGTCAGTTGAGATAACCCTTAAAGTGTGCTAAGATTTTCAAAACAGAGGTGGTTATGGAATAACATCCAGGCATAGTACCAGACATACACAAAGGCTGGTCATTGGCATCTTTTTGTCGTTGTTCTAGTTGGTTATACATGACAGCATAATGCATCTCAACTCATTGTACACAAATGGAGCATAACTTCTTATTTCTCTGGCTGTACGTGATGCAGAGTCACACCATTCATGCAATAATACATGTACACAATGTCTGTCTCATTTCATCATCCTTCCCACCCTCCATACTTCCTCCCCTCCCCTCTCCTCCCTTCACTCCCCTCTGCCCAATCCAAAGTTCCTCCATTCTTCCCTAGCCCCCCCAACCCCCCGTTATGGATCAGCATCCACATATCAGAGAAAACATTTGACCTTTGTCTTTTTTGGATTGGCTTATTTTGCTTAGCATGATATTCTCCAACTCCATCCATTTACATGCAAATGCCATAATTTCCTTTCTTTAAGACCAAGTAATATTTCACTGTATGTATGTATGTATATATATATATATATATATATATATACCACCCTTTCTTTATCCATTCATCTATTGAAGGGCATTTAGGTTGGTTCCATAGTTTAGCTATTGTGAATTGAACTGCTGTAAACATTGGCTGTGCCAGTGTAGTATGCTGATTTTAAGTCCTTTGGGTATAAACCAAGGAGTGGGATAGCTGAGTCAAATTGTGGTTCCATTCCAAGTTTTCTAAGGAATCTCCATACTGCTTTCCAGAGTGGTTGCATCAATTTGCAGTCCTACCAGCAATATATGAGTGAACCTTTCCCCCCACATCCTTGGGTTGTTGACATCTTCAGGAAGCAGCTGCCAGCCAGTTTGGCTAGAAGGTGGAGTGTGTGTGAAGGAGTGTTGTAAGACAGAACTGAAAGGAAAAGTTGAAATCCAAATTTGGAAGGTTGGCTTGGATACTTTTTACTTAATGTGAACTCACCATTAATTGTGTGGTGACTTCTCCTTTCATTAGTTGCAACATTCTGCTCAAGATTATGTGGACACAGCAGACTGTGGGAGAAAAAAAAAAAAAGAATGCTAGTGAAGATTCAGGAAAACAGATCGTAATATCTATTGTTAGTGGGTGTCAAAATCAATAAAACTCCTTTGAAAAGCAGTTTTGATGAAATTTATCAAGAATCAAAATTTATTAAGAATCCTAGTTTTTAAAAATATAATCTGACTAAAAAAATCTCATTTCTAGTGATGTCATGAAGCAATAAAGTACATAAAAATGTGGTCAATATGTTATTATATGAGTCTTTGATAAGATGTGATGCAAATGACACTTCACTTGTCATTCTCCTCTAAAACCATAAACCCTAGTTTAATCTTAAGAAAAACATCAGGCAAATACTAATAGAGGGGCATCACAGTACTTCTCAAAACTGACAAGGTCAGTGTTAACTTTTCGACAGAATACCCGAGAACACAACTTAAAAGGAGGAAAGAAGCTGGTTACATTGGTGTGTGCCTGTAATCTCAGTAACTTGGGAGGATGAGGTAGGAAGATCACAAGTTTGAGGCCAGCCTTAGCAACTTTAGAGAGACCTTGTCTCAAAAACAAAAATAAAAAAGGACTTGGGGTATAGCTTGGTAATAGTAGAAAACCTCTGGGTTCAATCTCCAGTACTTTCCCTCAACCGAAAGAAAAGGAGAAAAGATTTACCTAAACCCATAGTTTCAGAGGTTTAGTTTGTGGTTGGTTGTCCCCATCACTATGGGCCTGTGGTGGGGTGGTACATAATGGTGGAAAGGTATGGCAGAGCAAAAAGCAAAAACTATTTGCCTTTGGAAGCTGGTAAGGTGGAGGGCAGGTAGGGGAAATCAATACACTGTGGCCTGTGCTGACATATGTGGTCAGTTGGTTTTCAACAATGGCTCTGAGATAAATCAGCAGTGATGAGTGATTACCTTTCAAAAAATGGTGCTGGATGGCCCAATTCTTTGAAGGACACAATCTCCCAAAATACACACAAAAAGAAATAGCCAATATGAACACACTTTATCTGCTAAGGAAATTGAATCAATAAATAATAACATTACAAAACAGAAAGCACCAGACCCAGACTGGTTTACAGGTGAACTCTACCAAAGGTTTAAGGAAGAAATTATACCAATTCTCTATTTCATGAATAAAATCAGTGAGAATATATCTTAATGTATACCTTAATACCAAAACCAGACAAAGATGTTAATAAGAAAACTACATAGTTTCAAAGATCCTCAACAAAACATTAGCAAATCAGACCTAACAATTCATTAAGATTATATACCACAACCAAGTGGATGTCATGCTGGGTGTGCAAGATTGACTCAATATTAAATGTTAACCAAAGAAGTCCATCACATAGACAGGGGGAAGAAGAGAAGTCACACATTCTTATCAATACATGCATAGAAGGCATTTGGCAAAATCCATCACTTATTCGTGGTAAAAATTCTCAGTAATAAGAAAAAACCAACAGTTAACATCTACTCAATGGCAAGAAAAACTAGAAGCCTTCCACTAAGATCAGGATAAGACAAGGATTTCTCCTCTTACCTCCCCTTTCATCAACATACTGGAAGTCCTAGAAGAGGAAATAAAAAGTATGCTGATTTGGAGGAAAGAAATAAAACTGTGTTTGTTCACAGATGACATGAATATTTGTGTAAAACATCTAAAAAAAAAAAAAAACCTGACAAAACCTCCAACTTATAATTATAGCAAGATTTCAGGATACAAGGTTAATAGAAAAAAGCCAATTACTTATATTTCAGCAATGAATAAGTGGGATTTGGTACAATACTATTTATATTAGCACCAAAATAAATGAAACACTTATGATATATGTGACAAAAATATAAAGACATATATGAGGAAGATGACAAAACTCTGATGAAAGAAATCAAACAACTAAAAAATTGATATTCCATGTTCATGGTTAGGGACACTCAGTATTCTTAAAATCATTACTTTTCAACTTGATCTATAGATTCAGTACAATCCTAGTCAAAATCCCAGCAAGTGGATACCAACAAACCAATTCTAGAATTTATTTAAAAAAATTTTTTTTGGTACAGAAATTGGACCCAGGGGCTCTTAACCACTGAGCCACATCCCCAGCTCTTGTTTAAAATATATATATATATATATATATATATATATATATATATATATAT